GTTTACTTGAGACTTTTCAGGCGGGTCAGCTCAAAGCACCTGTCTTTATTGCTAAATAAGAGCTGTTTACATTGCCCTCTGCAAATGTACTACCGTACGGAACAGATAAAATGGCATTCTTACTGAATGTACCTGTGCTTGGACAAAGGTTTGAAATGCTATGTACGGTACCGGATATCATATCCAGGCTCAGGGCTGCCGAGAGAATTTGTTGGGCCCGGGGCAAATCTTCTTTGGGGGCCTCATGACTAGACCTTAACTAGATTGCATGTGGAGCTACTGTAAGGGGCCCTCAATTTAAAGAATGCTCTAACCAATTTAAAGGACCTATTCAATTTTAGGCTCTCAATCTCAAGTTAGGGCCCTATTCCCCCTCTCGGCAGATAGTGGATAGTAAAATAATCTTACTATCCAGTATTTTGGAAGAAACCAGGTTTGACCTTTGAGATTTGTGAGCAAGGCTTTGGCAATACCCTTGTTTAGAGTGAAGCTCTTTGCTATGATTTCACATATATTTTAAAGTCAAAGTATTATAAACACCCTCACTTTATAACCAATTAAAATAATTATTTATCTTTAAAAATGAAAGTCTAAACCTTATATTATATCAACAGTATTTGACCGGATATCCTTCAACTATACGTAATAGCTGAAATCTGGCTGGATTGCAAAAAGTTTTATCTGGTGATTCAGAATTGTAACTTGATCAATGTTGGAAATTTGTGGTTGAAAAACCAGGAGAAATGTGTTCCCTGGAGAAACACCCCACTATTGCCTCATCTTAAAAATAAGTTAGAATTTTGAACAATTTTTATCATAGCTTTAGAGTTGTGTGTTATAATATTTCCCTGGCCACTACCACGAGAATGAAATTAATTAATAATAATTAATATACATTAGGGATGCACCGCTTAAAGCATTTTGCCATCCAGCTGAAGACCAGATATGCCGAATAGTTGGAAAATATCCTACCAGATTCTCCGGCCACATACTGGATATAGAGTGATTATAAAATATATGTAGGATATTTAAAATGGGATATAGACTGCCTATAAAGTGTTGTTTATATAGAGAATAATACATGGGTGCGCCAGAAATACTGTACCAGATTTATTTCGAGTGTTGAACATGATATCTCACGAGTGAGCGCAGCGAACAAGTGAGATATCATGTTCAATACAAGAAATAAATCTGGTATTTCCAAGCACCCATGTATTTTTCTGTTTATTATATAAAGGACAGTTTTTGAAAAGCGATAATGTTTACAGAAAAGCGATAATTGAAAAGTGATAATTTTCACATGTGAGATTATCATGAATAATCTCACATGTGTGATTATCACTTTTATCAGTGCTTGAAATCTGTATAAAGCACTATACTTTTTATAATAAAATATAGTATATTGATTTGAAATGATAGGAAAGAACTTCACAATCAATTAAACTTAAGATGTCTAATATACTATGTTTATTATTTACTGTGACTGAAAATGTTACTGCCAGAAAAGTTTATGCTCTTCCGGTTAATTGTTTAACCAGTCTCTCTGCCAATGCGCCCTGTTAAATTGTAGCATGCCCCTAAAAAAGTGTTATCTAGTGATAGTTTAGCCAAACTTTCTGCCTATTTAAAATTTCAAATATTTAATAATGAACTTTAATTTGGATTGTGAGTCTGTGACTGATGTAAACTGTTAAAATGATTCAATTGAATCAAAATATGTATTTATAGACTATAGTCTTAAACTCTAAAAATAATTATAGTTTAAATTTGTAATAAATTTATTTTTAACTGTTACTACATTGGTATAATATAATTACATTACATTGAACACTAGAAAGTAAGCTTTACACTGCAAGCATATTTAAACCTTGGGAAGTGTAAGTTTACTTTCGAGGTGTACCTTTACACCAATTTGGTGTCACCACAGAGGAAAGTAGATTTACACCAAAGAAGTGCTAGATAACCTATGGCAGTGTAAGTTTACTCTCTCAGTGTAAACAAACACCAAATTGGTGTCCCCACAGAGGCAAGCGGATTTACACCAAAGCAGCGTTAAATAACCTAGGACAGTGTAAGTTTACCCTCTCAGTGTAAATAAACACCAAATTGGTGTCCCCACAGAGGCAAACGGATTTACACCAAAGCAGTGTTAAGTAACCTAGGATAGTGTAAATTTACTCTCTCAGTGTAAACAAACACCAAGTTGGTGTCCCCACAGAGGCAAGCGGATTTACACCAAAGCAGCGTCAAATAACCTAGGATAGTGTAAGTTTACCCTCTCAGCGTAAATAAACACCAAATTGGTGTCCCCACAGAGGCAAGCGGATTTACACCAAAGCAGCGTCAAATAACCTAGGATGGTGCAAATTAACACCAAATGGGTGTTCATACAGACACAACTATTTACACTGAAGAGGTGTAAACTAACACTAAAATCAGTGTTAACTGACACCTTTTCGGTGTCCCCACAGAGGCAAGAATTTACACCGATTTTGGTGTTGTGGCAACACCCCCAGATTTACAGTGTATAGACATTGTGTTAACAACGCACAAAGAGAATATTATAAAAGTCTTTGTAAATAGAATCGGAGCTCTCTCCTCCGCAGAGGCTTTAGTTTTCTTAGGATTTAATATTACAATGAGATACATTTCACTACACTTTACATGGCGGATCTTGGAACACGAGCGTAGCCGCTGGGGGAAGGAGCGCAG